CGGGTCGTGGTGTTTGTTTCAAACAAAGGCAAGGAGCAACGACAAGCTGTTGTTTTGTTCTGTAGGGTCCTTGGATCACTGCAGAACTCTCCAGAGTTCTCTGAAGCCTTTTCCTGCACCACGAAAGACAACATGGATCCTCCTAGGAAGTGCCGCGTTTGGTGACAGACTGCAAACCTCCCACCCCGAGGAGCTTGCCAGGAAAAGAGACACTGTCAGCTAATTCTGAGAAGGGGAGGAGGGAAGAAAACCGAGGGGAATATGCTAGAGTAGTCACTGTAATTGTTGGTAAACATGCAAACCCCAAATCATCACCCAGCAGAGCATCCCAGGAGGACTAAGGCAGCCCCAGGCTGCTGCGGCTGACTGGCTGCCTCTCCCCCACGGAACCTGTAGGATCCAACTCACTGGCCATGCACAGCAACATTCACTGCAGTTTAACCCTGCTCCCCACAGCCAGGGGCTTTGGGGATTCATTCCGAGATGTCAGAGGATAACAGGAGATCTCCCACCGGTCAGCGAGAGCACAGTTCTGGCCAGGGAGGAGGGAAGTGCTCAGAAACACACGGCTTTAGCCACCATAATATGACAGAGAAACTGCAGTTTATATCCCACTGTCACACCTTGTCCCTCTGCCGTTACGGGAAATCTGCTCTACCAAATGTTTTCATCTTTACTTGAAACCATTTATAAGAGAGGAGTCCAAAGACCTGCTGTACTTAAATAACTTCTCACTAATTACTCCAGCGTGTATTACCTGATGGCACTATTTACAACAGTTTATTTACTGCTTTCCAGCCCAACTGAAATTGTAGGTAATCTAATTTTCAAACCTATAATCTGTAAGATTGCGATCAAAGACCCTTTCACAGTTTTCTAAGTTTTTTCTTGCTTTCTCTGAAGTTGCTCTTTTTTAAAGTTTCTAGTAATGTATAAATCATAGTTTTTATATTTAAATCTGAGCTACACTTTTGACTTGAAGTATTGTAATATATTTTATCAGTGGCTGCATAGAACTGGGAAATTGGAGTAAAGCATGGTACTGGGCAATAAGATAAAGCCTACAGAGCTGAGTCCTCCAACAGAGCGCACTGATGTTGGAGCTTTCAGGCTGATTTCTCAGTGCTTAGGGTCTGATCCTGCACGTAACTTGTACATGTTCTGGCTGATGCCAGTCCTCACACCTGGAAAGCTGCACAGCTGATTGCAAGAGGCAGGAGGAGCTTTAAGTAAGAGGGTAAAAGGCTTTAAATCTGCAATGATATGTATTAAACATCCTCATGCAGATTGCAAAGGAACTTACTGCTTTGTGTATCAAAGCAAACACATTTCCAAACTGAGTATCAGATACCTCAGATGACTGCTACAATAGGTCTATTTAAAAACCTATGTCCTTTTAGCTTTCTGAGTTCGTCATCTGATCAAAACATTTTGATAATAAACTGAAATTATGAGCCAAATGCAAGTGTGTGTTCTTTACAGGAAATAGCAATAAAACAAAATTCTCTGCAAATAAGTGTCTGCACTGGCCCCTGAGCCCCACAGCTCAATAGAGGGAGATTCCATTCCCAGGATCCAGCTCACGGCCACCCACCCTGCAATCAGTTCTGTGGCCACTCGGGCACACGCTGGGCTTGTTGGGGTGCCCCGAGCAGGGCCAGGAGCTGCACTGGATGGTCCCTGGGGGTCCCTTCCAGCTGGGACCCTCTGGGATCCTCCCTTACTCTGCGATCCTCTGACCTGAACAGGCCCCAGGATCCGTGCCAGGGTATCAGGGCAGGAATTGAAGAACCAGGCTGGGATCCATCCCAGGGGATCAGGGCAGGGATTGAGAGGCAGGCTGGGATCCGTCCCAGGGGATGAGGGCAGGGATTGAGAACCAGGCTGGGATCTGTCCCAGGGGATCAGGGCAGGGATTGAGAACCAGGCTGGGATCCGTCCCAGGGGATCAGGGCAGGGATTGAGAGGCAGGCTGGGATCCGTCCCAGGGGATCAGGGCAGGGATTGAGAACCAGGCTGGGATCCGTCCAGGGGATCAGGGCAGGGATTGAGAACCAGGCTGGGATCCGTCCCAGGGGATCAGGGCAGGGATTGAGAGGCAGGCTGGGATCCGTCCCAGGGGATCAGGGAAGGAATTGAAGAACCAGGCTGGGATCCGTCCCAGGGGATCAGGGCAGGGATTGAGAGGCAGGCTGGGATCCGTCCCAGGGGATCAGGGCAGGGATTGAGAGGCAGGCTGGTCCCTGCACACCTGAAGGAATTCCCTCACGTTACTGTAGGGCCCGGGAGAGATCAGTTCCCTGCCCTGAGGGCTGATGGCCCATTACGGGGCAGGATTAGAGAATTCCAGACACACTACCAGTAACAAAGGGTAACGACGCAGGGCTCGTACCTGAGGCGGCTCCGCGGCAGGTCCAGGCGAACATGGCTCGGGTGAACCCATCCTCCGGGCGGCCGAGCCCGGCCGGGCTCACCCCGGGCAGCCCGAGCTGGAACACGGCCCGAGGGCGGCTCTGAGGGCCCGGGGGCTCCTGCCGGGTTCAGGGGCTGAGGGACCTCGGGACAACGATCCCACCGCGGCCCCGCCCTTCCAGAACATTCCCTGGCTGCCCTCAGTGCCCCACCCTTCCACTACATTCTCTGGCCCCGCCCTTCCAGAACATTCCCTGCCCTCAGCCCCCGCCCCTTCCAGAACACTCTCTGGCCCCGCCCTTCCAGAACATTCCCTGCCCTCAGCCCCTGCCCCTTCCAGAACATTCCCTGCCCTCAGCCCCCGCCCCTTCCAGAACATTCTGTGCCGCTGGGCAAACCTGGCACCCAGCTCTGCAGCAACAGCAACTCCAACATTCCCGCTTGGCTTTTGGAGATGAAACAAGGAATAATAAATTAAGCACTAAAGATCATCTTAGATCACAGAAAACATCATCCTACTATCAGGAAAGAAAATAGGTTTGGAAAAGGTGCCCACCCTAAAGGTGTACAGGGGTCTTTGCTCCTGGAGAACTGGACCTCAGGGATGGGATAGAGCTCATTAGGGACAGCTCGTTATTCCCCCAAGCCATCCCCCTGTAACAATATTGTCATGTCCTACAGCCCAACACGGTGACAAACACTGAAGCTGTGGCCTCACTTCAACAGCGTAGCACCAGAGCTCTGCAAGAAATCTGAATACACGTGGTTTTCTTCTCATCACTCACCAGCATCCGAGAGAAAAAACCCAGCACCCAAACACTCACTTTGTTTTTCAAGAATTAAAGCCCCCAAACCTTTTGCTGCCGCCCTGACAGCCCTGCACGTGTGGGGAGCTTCGCTGACCAGCCGCTCCAGTGGGCTGTCCGAGGGTGGTTCCAAAAGGTCACCTTGCAGAGCACTCCGTGGGCTTCCAAGAGCGTGGGGGATGCATAATTTCTTGGAATAATCCTCTTTTTATTACTCCACAAAACTGGCAGGAACTTTCCCTTTGTACACAGCAAGTCAGCCTGACAATACTGAAGCCAGCCTAGAAAGTTATTTTGTTTTGCTCTGCCAAATCAGATCTTTCTGCTCTCAAAAATCAGGTAAAGCTAAACCAGATTGTAGAGTTTACATTTCAGCTCTGTAACATTTTAATTGGAAACATTTGATTTCCAGTGTTGTGAGACACCCAAAGAGCCACTGGGGCCAACGGGATCTTTCAGAACGTTTCCCTGCAGGCCTGGTAAATGAACTGAGATGTGAAAACAGGGACATGGTTTCTATGGAGTCTCTGCTGGCCCTGTGTCAGTCAGAGCTGGGCTCAGTCTGGGTGGGCTCAGTCTTAGGAACCCAGGAATTGGTCCTGAAAAGGAGATATGAGGTGTCTGCTCACACAGCCCACCTGGACAGGGAGCTGGGAGGGATGTTCTCACCTGGCAGTGACTGACAGTGATGCTGGAGGTCCTCACCTGCTGCAGGGACTGGGAATCTCCAGCTCTTCAAGAGACTGCAGGGTTTACCCCCTCTTTCAGGACACCCTCAGTTCATCCACAGGTGAAGCAACTTGGTGTTGAGTCAATTCCCAAAGGGAATGTCACACTTGAGTTCTGCTGCTGAGGCTGCTGGAGTGGCCAAGGAATGTTCAGGGCTGCACTACAGTCAAATATGTTTGTGTTTCCATTCCTAAAGGACAACAGACAGTGCCCACAGATGGAGACAGGATGTCTGACTGATGTGCCTTCCTCACATTCTCAAAATTATACAAATTGTGTAAGCAGGAGCCAAAAAAATAGTTTCTCTCTCTGTTTAACCCCATCAGGGGTCATGAAGGTTTTTTTCACATTAACTTAAACATACATCTTGCTGGGATCTCCCAGACATGCCTCCCACAGTCAGTTCTCTGCTTTAACTGGGGATTGAATTATTAATGATTTTGTCTTCTGAGAGCTGCAGCTCTTCAGTGTAAAACCCTTCCTGCTCAAAGCTCAGGGCTGTCTGTGAAAATGCAGCAGCTCAGATCATCTGACAATTATTTCTGATTTGAATGGCAAAGTCGCTGGAAGTTCTCAAGGCACGTTATCCATCAGGGGAATATAATTATCTCCAACTATAATTAAGAAAGACAAACCCTCCAAGTACAAGACAGTCAGGGGGCCAGAGTGAGGCTGAGCCATGACATGCACCCTCAGCTGTACAACAGCCCTCCCAACCCTAAAAAAGCCTGAGGTTTTCTGGTCGAAGGACATACATATTTGTTTCATAACAATAGATTCCAATAGATTTTCCCCACAATAAGGCTAAAAATACTTCCCCAGGCCCCACGAGAAATTAACCCTTGCCTGTTTCTAGCAAGCTGGAAGCTCCTTAGCTATTTTAAAAGTTTGCTACTGAGCAGGCAGGCAGGTGTCCACCTATACAGGACTCCAAAACCACTCACCCCATTACAAACCGTTTGGAAACTGGGAAATTGGTTTGGTGACTCTTCCTGGAACTCTAATTAGCATTTGAAACGCTGTGGATAAGAAGAGTACACCATGTTTACAGTGTTGATATTAAAAATAACTCATTTTATGCTTGTTTTAGTCATTAGAAATCTCAGTTGAACTTCCAGGTTCTTCTAATCAACCTCACTGTAAATTCTTCTGTCCTGTAAGACAAAGCAAATAGCGTCTGAAAGGTGGCAGTGCCAAGCAAGGGAAGCAGAGGCGGTGTGTGACACGTGCCAGTCACTTACTGCCATCAGGAGAAGACAATGTAAACCATGAGGGCACATCCCAGGATCCAGCCAACTGCCAGGAGCACAGGCACAACCAGGCGGGACAGCGGGGCTGGGGCTGCAAGAGAAGACAGGGACAAGCTGTGTGACAGAAAGGCAGGCAATTATCCCAACACATCCAGGATTGTCCCAGCGTGCCTGGACCTGCAGGAAGGGGACACTGAATCCCCATGCTGGCAGTGCCTGCACTGAGGGGACACTGTATACAAATACATTTCTGTACAACATCAGAATTCTAAAGACCCTTCTATCAGCTTCCTGCAAATAGCAGTCTCTTGCCAGAAAGCAGAATTCTATTACTTACCAACATTTTACAACCTCTTGGAGCACATCTCTCTGCAGTTAAGAGATTTCCAGGTTTTTGAAGGGATTAATAAATTATGTAAAACTATTCACAGCACCTTGCACAGTTCAGATCAAGCAGGCAGATTTAGAGGGATCCTTAATAATTTAAGGATTGCCACATTGCTCTTTTAAAGCTGTGCACAAGAAACCTCTCTCCATGACACTGCACGGTGTCTCTGACAGAGGGAGAGAGCACAGAGAGAAAATCTGCATATGCTGCCAGGAAAATATTAAACAGATAAAGAACCACAACAGCAAAGATAAAATCCTGCTCTGAAACTGGGAGTCATTTTGCCTGGGAGATAAGTCTTCGGAAGCTGTATTAGAGATGTATTAGAGATGTATTAAAAAGTTCCTTTAACCAGTGTTACCTGAGTACCTGTGCACAGCAAACACCACAGATACACTCACAGCTGTAAGTTTAAGTGAAGTAAATTAAAAATGACAATAGATACAGAATACATTTTTATAAGCTGCCTTTTCTCCTTGGAGACAGTGAGCTCTGCTTACAATGGAAAGCTCATTATTAAAATTTCATTTTGCTCTGTCACTCAAGCTTTGTGGGGTTAAAATCTGAATTATTCTACGTTCACCTAGAACTGCGCTCAGAGCTCAGCTACACGGAGACATCAAAAATGCTGTCAAACATATCTCATTTTACACAGCTCTGTTCTATTGTGTTCACTAACCTGAAATTACAGCTACAAAACACTAAAGAAAAAACCGGTGGGATTCAGAAATACAGGAGGAAGACAAGCTACTTTTAACTGTTAATAGAATTAGCTTTTAAACTGGTAACTGTTACTGAAAAGTAAAATACATAGTGTTTCAACAAGACCACAAGTAGCTGAGTATTTTCACACTCCATTGCTCAGATTATTCATTTTAATCCATTGTTACATTCACATCTCTCGGTGCATCTTACCTGGTTCTGCCATTCCCCCTCTGCTGGTTTAGTGGCAGGTTTGCCTCTGCAGTTGTTCTGGGAGCCTCGGGATGCTTTAAATAGACGGGTATTTGGAATGTGCTGCAGCTGCCTGGTCCCTGGTGCCAGGCTTGGGCTACGTGCAGCCAATTGTCTAAAAAGGCAGCAATTCAGGGCATTTGGGCTCACCTCTGCCTGCTCCTCCAGCTGCACATCTGGAACAAAGGGGGCTCAGTTTTTGAAGGGGGAGAGGAGCGAGGGTGACAGGTGCTTTGTGGACTCTTCATAGCCATGAAACACCCCATGGGAGGTTCAGAGAATATTTATGACCATCCACACATTTAGAGCGTGACAGGGACCTGGTTTGTTCTTAATCCCCCACATCTTCAATCATCCCTCTCCTGTCGACACCCAAGCCAAGCCCTGCTCAGGATACTTCTGTAGTTCTCAGTTCTTTCCTAAGCCCCACTAGGACTCTCATTCTGCACAAAGCACATTAAGCTCTTGTCCCTGAATGAGTACAGGGTGCAACCACAGGTTTCTGCCATCCCTGTGGGAAGTGGGCAACAAAACTCCAGGAAGGAATATTCCTAAAACAACCTGAGAATTATTTTGTCCTAAACAGGATAAATAATTGCAAACTGTCCCTAATTCAAAGGAGAAAAACCGTGGAGACAAGTGCCAGATGTGAGCCAAAAGCACAAACTGCACAGCAGGTCCCGTCACAGCAAAGGGGGAAGATCCCTCAGAGCCATCCTGGGTTTGACCAATTAGCAGGAACAAACACTCCAAGTGCTGTGGAGAAGTGAACCCGTGTGCAGGACACTCAGAGGAACATCACACAAGCTCTGATCCAAAGGCTTTCCCTCAGGAATGGGAGGAGACCTTCTCTGCCATTCTCCAAGTTTATACAGAGTCCCATCTCAGAACTGTGCCTGGAGATGAAATGGAACAGGGATCCTTCCCGTGCTTCTGAACTGGAAAAGGACAGAGCTGGCTGCTCCAAAGCCACTCCAGGTAACAGGTGCACAGGAAGATTTCGAGAGATCTAATCTGGATGTTCATATAGTTGAGAGGAATTTCTTGTGGGCTCCCAGAAGACAGGACAGTGCTTGGAAACACATTCAGTAGATCTAAAAGAGTTGATCTCTTTCTTATCTGCTTGTTGATTAAAAACTAAATACTTTACACTAAAAAAAATCAATTATCACCTTTATTCAGAGTTGCTTCCCCTCATACAATGGCTGTGGGATCACATCTTCCTTGGAGCCTCTATAACCAGATTGAAGAACAGCAATTAAGCCAAAGCCAGATTCTACAGGACCAGGTGGAAAAAATCCTGGCTTTTCATACCAACACAGTCTAACTTGTCCTAAAGCAAGTTTATAACTCAAGTATTTAATTTTGAAAGGGCCAGAACTGGTTATAAGGGAAGTTCAATGCCAGTCCCTCCCAAGGAAGGGGGTGTTCCTGACAGGGGAACTGCTCTGCAGGGCTCCCTTGGCAGTCCCTGCCCACTCTGGGGCAGAGCAGGAGGGGCAGGGACCTGTCCAGGCTACACCTACAAAACAGGGAGGGGCAGCCTTCAAACATCCCCAGGGAATGCAATTCAATGGCTGGTTATTTTTACTGGAATAGTACTTTTGTCCAAGATGCAGAGTGGGAACTGTGGGCCCCAGGCTGCCATGATCGTGTCCATCTGCAGAGAACTTTCCTCTGCACTGTCCAAGAACAAAGAGTGGCAGTGGAATGATGAGAGTCTCAGGAACACTCTGACATCCACAGAGGGGGAGCAGCACTGAGCTCTGGCCACACTGTGCTGAGCAGTTGTTTCACATCAGAGACAAATTCAGCCCTGTAGAGATGGTTTATTGCACACTATAAACAGTCCCTGGGCTTAGGAGCCTGGCGGGAATTCGAAGATGATCATTCCAGAACAAGAACTGAAGCCAAGGCATGTCACCTAAGGAAGTTTTCATCAATGGCACACAATCCCAGACTGCTTTGGGTTGGAAGGACTTTAAAGCCCATGCAGTCCCACCCCTGCCATGGGCAGGGACACCTTCCACTGGCCCAGGCTGCTCCAAGCCCTGTCCAGCCTGGCCTCGCTATACCTTGATGTCTCTGCTGCTTTCTGCCATTTCTCTGCGTTTTCAAGCAAGACAGTTCTCCTCCAAAACTGCTTGTCTTTCCCCACACACCACATAGGGAAGGTGATTTCCTGACTGCTTACCCAAAATAAAACTCAGGGCTATATAAAGCACTTTGTTATGCCGTGCACAGTCCAGCCCATCACAACATGCTGAGACACAAGAACAAACTGTGAGCTCTGCTGTCTTGGGCTGGCTTTGTTAGAGAGCAAATCTTTCTGGACAAGATCCAATTTGTTGCAAAAAGAAATATGGCTCTGTGCAATAAATTTATTGGGAACACCATCTCTGATACAATGACTTCCTTGGCTGCACAGCTGTTCCCATAAGAATCCTATCTGCTTTGGTTCTGCTAATTATATATATCCATCTGATCTCATGGAAATAATTTCCACCAGGAACCCTGTATTCCTGACAAGGCCATCTGACCTTCAGGGGTTGGGATCCTTCCAGGCCCAGTTGCCACAAGCAAGGGCAGTGAGTGAGTGCTGCTCCCCCAGCTTTGGGCACTGCTCCCCCAGCTGAGCTGCACACACAGCCCAGAGCAGGGCCTGAAGCACAGAGAACTTGTAACTGCAGCAGAGTAACAATATAGACATTATCTTAAACAACACATCTTCTGATTAGAACTGAGCAATAAACTGCAGACTTCAATCCTACAATAGAGCTCAGTCCAATAGCCCCCCCCCCAAAAAAAATATATCGCAGGGGGACAGTTTCAAAATATAAAAAAACAAGGAGAGGACACAAGGCTTAAGAAAAAACTCAGAATGATCCGTGGCAAAACACATCTACTGCTTTGCTGCTGAACAACAATACACAAGAAAAACAATTCCCTCATTTCTATTTGTGTTTCAAATTACGTGATGATTTCTGTATGTTCTTCCCCCTGAGTTAGTGCTGGGACACTGAGACACTCAATGTCCAGAGTTAGATGGGCAGCTGGCTTTAGGAATTAGATCTCTCCTTTAGCCTCCAGCTCACTGAGGTGCTCAGAGTGGTCTCACTTAGGGACCCTTTGGAGCAGCCTCCTTGACTCCATTTCCATTACCTGCTCAAGGCTGGGAATCGCTTCAGATGCTTTAAATGTGAATGTTTAAATGCTTTCTGTGAATTAGGGCCAAAGTCAGGAGAGAACTGAGGGAGGCAGCAGGGCTGCCAGGCCTCCCAGGAGAGCAGCAACTTCAGGGGGAAAAACCAGTGCTGATGTTTTAGAAAATATTCCATTCTCTTCTTTGGAACCACGGGGACTCTGCCAGCAGGACAAACACCTGGCCCAGCTGGATTCCTTGGCTGGCAGGTCTGGATGGCAGCGCTCACAAAGTCCTGCTCTGGGCAGCACAAAAACCCTCTGGGGGTGTCTGAAGGATCTCTAAAGGATCCCCCAGCACCCCACTGAGAGGCAGAACTTCCCTTCTGTGCCAGAGCCAGGGTTCCACGTGGAATGCTGGGAACACAGCTGAGAGAACAGTACCAACTGCATGGAAACAACCCCATGGAGGCATTTCCTGGGCTCTCTCTGCTGGATCCCTGGGATTCAGTGCCTGATGTTTGGGAAGGAAGTGTCAGAACCTCACCGACACTCCACCCACTTTGCAAAGCCAGTTGGCCATTTTTAGTGTCAAAACAGCCAGTATGGTGAGAGCACATCCCCATCTTCTTCATTTCACCAGCACCCAGACATTAAATACCAGAAAGCTGAATTTCTGTCCTTGTTACTGTACCTGTAATCCCAGAAATCTGCCCCCAGTGCAGCAGGCTGGCAAAGGAAGGCTTTGTTTTACACATTCTATCCATATAAATAGCTGCAGGCTAAACTGCTGTAGAGGACACCAGGGGCACAGACCAACTCATCTTCACAAAGGGAATGCTCCAAGTAATAAAATCTTTACAGCTTTGTAATATTGGTATTAATTTTTAAATCACATTTCTTTCCTTCAGCTGAGCTTTTTCCTTACCCCTGATTTACTAGCAAATCAAGAGCCACATTTATATGCCTTGAATTGTCTTATGACTTTGCCATACTCTCCTGTGACATGCAGACTAACATGTGAGACTACCAGATTTTTGCTTTCAAGAAATAGGTTTATGTGTGGAAAACTTGTCTAATGAAATGCATTTTATTAGTCCCCAGTCTTAGCATTTGAAAGCTCCCTTAGAAATTGCCAGGCACTACTTCTACTCACATTTACATCATGAAAATAACGGCTGAGTTATTTGATAACTGTGCAACTGAAGACCTGAAAAAAATCCACGTATTAAGCTACTAAATATTTAATTCCACAGGCTGCTTCCCAGGGCTTGGGGTCTGCACGTCATTTGTCTTGGCAGAGAGGAATATCATTCACTGAATGCTGAGACACCTGCTAAAAAATAGCCACAAATATGATGGAGAAACAGCTCTGTCGTGTCGACATCGACACGTACCATGGAATTGCTGGACTAGTTCCCCACTGGTGTCTAAAAATAATGGTAACAACGTGGGTCTGCCTTTGCACAGCGGCTGAGAGATGGCAAATCTTGCTGGCTGGCACAGGGGGAGCTGTGTGGAGGCACCTGCCCGACACAGAACCGTGGGCAGTCCAGCAGGGCACGAGCACAGGAGCCAAAGCATCTGCAACTGCACATCTGTGGAGCCAGAGCAGCTCTGGAGCCACATCCAACCAACCCAGCACCGCTCCCCGTGCCCTGAGCTGGGCTGGCACTGAACCCCCAGAGCTGCCCAGCCCAGGCACAGCCACAGGACAAGTTTGAGATTTCAAATAAAAACTTCCCCCATTTGTCCCTCTCCAGTGATCATTATTCTGGAAGGACAGCCAGGCCACCACACCCCACAAATCCCCAGGCACTCATGATCTGAGAACTGGCAGCTTTCTGGAGGATGTGTGGGGTGATTTATACATCACTGCAAGCAGTTGGTGTGGCCTTTACTGTCACAGCTGAAGGAAAATCAGCATTTTCTTCAGAATTTACAGGCATTTAGAGTGCCACTTGGATTTGCACTGAATC